GTGCATCATAATAAATATAGGAGGTAACAAATTTAACAACAGGTTATGCTTTCCTGAAAAATAATGATATTCAGTGCTTATTATAATAATGGCATTGTTAACATAACAGTCACTGTGACATGATGGTAGTTAGATTTTTATATTAGAGTCCTTATCGTTAACACATTGGTTTAAATATATAAGTATTTTATTGCTCAATATGCATACAGAAAGTTACTTTTCTGGTAAGTTATTTCATTATTCTTTCTCCAAGTAGTGCTGAGGGTTGTATAGTGTGGAGGATGATGTGGAATTCTGATTAAAGACTAGGATCTAGAACAGGGGTGGGGCCAGACACTCTCAGCCTGATTTATGCCACAAGGTCATTGCCATGGAGATAGTGTTTATGCTTGTTATTTGAGCTCTCGAAGGAAAAGCAGGCTATGAATAAGAAATACTTTTATGGACAAGCACAGTTCTGTTGATGGCTTATAAGACATGGGAATTAAATTGGTTAAGTAGTTGTTCATTGTACTGAAATATATGAAGAAATTCCAGTAAAGTATTAGCAAGTCAGAGTACAGGCCACAATGGAAATGAGTGTTTTTGTATAAAAGGAAAAAAAATGGAGAGTGGTTTAAGAGAAAAAGTGAGTGTGTAAAGGACAGGCAGAAATTAGTTTCCTATAGCTGAACTCAGTTGAACAGAGTTTTTTTATTGTAAGCCATCCAGAGTCACTTAGGTGAGATGGATAGTGCAAAAATATGATGAATAAAAAAAATAAATTATGGATTTACTTGTAATCCAAACTGAATTTTTTTTTTTGCAAATTTTCCTGAAGGCCGGGCATCTGCTTATTTGTATTTGAGGAATTTCAGGTACCTTTGGAAATATTAAAGCAGTATTTTACCTTTCTGTTGAGCTTCTTATTATTATTAAACTAATAAGAGTTACTTTGCACAATGGGCGGCATATACATTTAATAAATACATAAAGTAAATAAAATAAGTCTTGGGTTATTTCTTTCAAAAAAAGGGAAGCAAACATGAGTAAATTTTACAGCCCTGGAACTTTTGATCATTCAGAAAAACCTGGTTAACATCATTGCTTTGACACGTAAACTGTAAAGTTAGTAAATTCCTTCATAACTTTGGGGAATAATTATTTCAATGCAGTATCTTTTTCAATTTAAAAACTATTTTTTAAACTTTTTTTTCTCTTTAAATGGCTTGACATCTAAGTATATTTAGTTGCGAATGGTGGTGAACAGCAAAATTCTAAAATTTAGAATAATAAAGAAACCCACTTTTCACCATGTATCAGTTTACTAACCTTGAAATTCCTTTGATGTGGTGCCTAAAGAACTATCTGCCATCTCAGTCTTGTTTTCTTATCCATTCTTATCCAAAGGGGATATAAATTGGGATTATAATTAAGTACCCACTATTCACATTATCAGGTTATAAATGTAACAATATTTTTAAAATTTGAGCCAGAATAATTGTGTGTTTGTATGTGAGTGTGTATTAAAAACCTGTGTCCATGTTCATACAGTGAAAGCAGACATCTGATTTCAACATACTACTGGTATGACTTGCTTCCTAAAAGCTGCTTTGCTTTGAAATGTGGAATGTAGGTAGAACAACACTATTATTTTCCTCCACTAGATGGCAATACTATTAAAGTCTTAAAATTTAGCCACTGGATGATTCTTAAAAAGACATGATTGACACATAAGAAGAAATAGGATGGTTTTTCCTGGTTTTGGCTTCCATCTCTTCTCAGAAATTGTCCCCTTTTATCTAGTCCCTTATTCCTGTAGTTCTCAAAGCCATATTTGCAGTTGCATTAGCCATATGATTTTATTTCATATGTAATATAGCCTTAGAAAGGATGGTCAGTTATACATGGGCAACCTGTTCCAAAATTACAAGAATCCTTTAAAATAGATTATGCTGGGTGAAATAATGGTTTGAAATCTTCAACACAGCCTGCTGAGAGACTGTCTGGTTCTTCCTAATGCTAGTTTGATTCTTGCCGTGATTGATTTCAAGCAGAGTTCAATTTAGGTATTTCTGGAATTTCAAGCGTAAAGTTTATTAACTTATTCTGCATTGATTAGGCTTCATACATGCCACACTTAGACCAAAGGGTGTGAGAATGGACGAGTAAACCTCTCTGTCTGTCTCTTGAGTGTAAATTACAAGGTCTTTCCCCAATGAAGCCCAAATAAATATCTTACAAGCAGCAGCAATTTGAAGCCACAGCAAACAGGCCCAGCCTGTTGACAGTAAGAAAGATGACTGTAACATAAATAGGCAGGAACTATTAACTAAACAAAATAGATTAAAACATCCCTTTAAGTCCAAAACATTTTATATTACATTTGGAAAAAGCTCAGGCAGATGCCATCCTTATTCATTGAAGGCTAAGAAGGAGGAGGTGATATAACACAGACCTGGAAGATTATTATTATAGCCAATCTCAGTAAAGATAGTTTTAGCCTTTCTATGGAATATATTTCCTGGTCTAATCTATTTAGTGGGACTGACACATAGCTATGCCAAGACCCCTAGAGCAGAATTGATTGCCACAGCAAACTTCATTTTTACAAAATATTAGGGAATAGCAACCAGAGATATATATAGTTTTTTAAAAATGTCTTGTTGACATGAAGCTTGATTCCTGGCCAGTACATTGTCATTATGTTCTTGGCAACAGTAAGGATATGTCATCCTTTTATTAATAATAATAAAGTTGGAAGGGACCTTGGAGGTCATCTAGTCCAACCCCCTGCTCAGGCAGGAAACCCTACACCATTTCAGACAAATGGCTGTCCAGTCTCTTCTTAAAAACTTCCGGTGTTGGAGCATTCACTGCTTCTAGAGGCAGGTTGTTCGACTGATTAATTGTTCTAACTGTCAGGAAGTTTCTCCTTAGTTCTAGGTTGCTTTTTTCCTTGCTTAGTTTCCACCCGTTGCTTCTTGTCCTGCCTTCAGGCGCTTTGGAGAATAGCTTGACTCCTTCTTTGTGGCAGCCCCTGAGATATTGGACCACTGCTATCATGTCACCCCTCGTCCTTTTCTTCATTAAACTAGACATACCCAATTCCATCAGCCGTTCCTTATATGTTTTTTAGGCTTCCCTACCCATCTAAAAATTTTCCAGTGGTTTCAGATCCAGTTAACTCTCTAGATCAGCAAGATCAACTGTGTACAACCTGCATTTACATATGATAATGCGGTAGTTTCTGCAACCCTGGTCAGATTGTTACATCTCAATGAATTCCTAAATAAATGCAAGATAACACTACCTTTAAGGTATTAAGTTATATGTGACAGCTTTCTGCTAATTTGAATGAGGTTTACTCTTTATGTGCAGTTTTTAATAGATTCAAAATATATGCAAAATATTGGATATCCTTCCAGTTGATCGACTGCTATTTTTTCTCCATGCAGTAAAAAGGTGATTGATTTATTAGGCCTAAAATTAGCTGAGTAAAGTTAATTCCACAAATGAACAATTCTAACCCTTCTAACCTTTTGGGCTGTAATCAGACTGTCTGGTTTGAGATAACCATGGGCTCCCCTAAACAGCTGCCTTAAGAATTGGAAAATGCAGATAATTTGTTCTGATGAAGTAAAGAGAAATATTCCTATTCCTTCTCTCTCTCATCTTTCAGTTAGCATTTGAATTGTGGGAAACATTAAATGGAAATTATATGGAACTGTTGAAGCCAAGGAAAGATCTGGCAAGATCAAGAACAATCTGTGATATAATTGCCTAAAAACTTTGAACAGCACGGCAGAACCCACAAATTCTGAATATCCCGTGCTCTACCACACCATCTTTTCACTAAAGGGCAGGTCAGAGTTCATTTGGTCCAAGATGCTATTTTAGCAAGCATCTGTTACGAGAGACCACCTATCTTTATGGTGCCTGCATCAGGAAAAGTCCCTTAGGAATCTGATCTGGATTTTTTTTTTTTTTTTTCATGATTAGGGTAAGTTTGCATCCCACCCTTGCACCCCAGATGCAGCATAACCATCAACAATAAAATATTTTGAGTATGTCTACAACAGCGGCAGATAAAGGAGATGACATCCAATCCAGGTTGAGCTGTTCCAGCTCCATGTCCCCTTGGGTGAATCTTCCTGTACACACAATAAAATCTGAGCATGTTGAAGATGTTCGTGCAAAAGTTGGACTAAAGAATCCTTTGATGAGCTACCTTTCTAAATGCAGGGATACCTATTGGGGGAGTCATGACATATGCCAGTGGTGGTGAACCTAAGGCACGCGTGCCAGAGGCGGCACTCAGAGCCCTCTCTGTGGGCACACGCGCCACGCCCCGGAGATGGCAACTGTCCCTCTTCAACCAGCCGCCTGCTAACTCACCGAGGTCCCACGTGGCCGGATGCATCCCGGCACGGTTTCCCTCCCCCCCCCGTCCCATCCCTCCTGGCCTCGCATGCTCTCCTTTTCCCAGGCACAACCCACTGCATCGCCTCCTCAGCTGTCGGCCGGCCATCCAGCTCAGAGGCGGCTTCTTTGAATGCTGGCGGCAGGCTACGGAATCCCAGAGTGCGCCAGTTGAGGGGCTGGGAGGCTGTGGCTGCTGATGGATGCCGTTGGCCCCCATGCGCTCGCTGGCCTGTGTGGGGGCCGATAGTGTCAGGCAGCAGCCGCCCTGGCCCTTACCTTGCCCCATGGCAATGGCACCCCCGCCCTGCCTCGCCTCACCTCGCAAGATGAGCCTCCTGCCTACCGCCCCACCTGCCAGAGACCCCCTGGATCTCCCCCAACCCTGCCCCCACAAGCATTCCTCCCCACGAGCAACATTGAGGTGACCATGCCCACCTTGGCCACACCCACCCAATCTGCCATGAGCCACACAGCTACGCCCACCCAGTGGGCCATGCCCACCTGGCACCCAGTGATAAATAAGTGGGTTTTGGCTTGCAGTTTGGGCACTCGGCCTTTAAAAGATTTGCCATCATGGATATATGCAGTCTAATAACTCTGGGAATGATCTATTTATTATTTAATTCCAGCATATTTTGGTAACTTGACTTAGACAAGCTTCATTCTTTTAAAAACATTTTATTTTAAAAATAAACATGCCCCAAATTGGCACCCACCCTCCTCCACTTATAGAAATGAGTCTGAGAATACATGATAAAGTGTGTACCAAGCTCTTAAGTGTGTACCATTCACAAGTGTAAAACCTCTAGCCCTGCATAGTTAAGATCTAAAGCACCTTTGCCCTTTAGGTGCATTGGACTACAAAATACCGACTCACAGTTAGGGAAGCTTCTGTTCCAGTGCATTCAGAAGATGCCAAGCTAACCAAGGCTGATGTAAACTAAGCTGGTTTCCCTAGTACAGGGGTAGGCAACCTTGGCTCTTTTATGATTCGTGGACTTCAACTGAGCATGGCTGGCTCAGGAATTCTGGGAGTTGAAGTCCACGAGTCATAAAAGAGCCAAGGTTGCTACCCCTGCCCTAGTATTTTTAAAAGCCAAGCTCTGAGACGTACAAGTAATTGAGCTGGCCTGGTGAAGACTAAATTAATTCATGTTTTAACTGGAAAGTAAAGCATTGCTTGAGAAAAGGTGTTGAGCATTTAACAGCCACTGTGCTTCAAACAATTTTAGCAAGTGTTCCCAGCCAACTTCCGTGCATTCTCTTCTCCCCTCAGCCATACTCATTAACACTGCTTGCACGATCTAGCACTGTACTTCTCAACCTCTCGGCAACTTTTAAGATGCGGGGACTTCAGCTCCCAAAATGGAAGAGTTCACCCTGCTGTGCTGGCTGAGGAATTCTGGGAGTTGAAGTCCATGCCTCTTAAAAAGTTGCCGAGGTTGAGAAACACTGACCTGCAGTTCCTGGGCTTCCTGTACATCTAATTCTGCTTTGATCCCCCTCCCATCTTCCTACACGCACATCCGGGAGGTATGTTTTTCTTCTCCAGTAAAACAGCTGTAGAATCCATGATGGTGAAACGGCGTGTTATTTTTTTATCCATTCAAAAATCTCTCTCCCATCTTCCCAAATTATCTCCCAACTACTTTGCTCCCAGAAAAAAATAAAGAGGTGGGTCCATGCGGCTCCTTATTCTAAGGAAGCAGAACTCTTAAGGGGAAACATCTGAGCATTCCTGAAGAGATGAACAGCTGAAGACCAAAGGCTTCAGCTGCCCCACTTCCTGTTCAGCAGGAAATCGGCTTCCACTGTGGCTGCCCCTTTGATAAAGACCCATAGGCATGTTCTGCAATATATTTGATAAAGAGCTGCCTGTGATATCTTGGTCTTAACTTTCTTACTACAGGCATAGCCTTCTAGAACTGTCATATTTCCTAGATATCTTCAACCGCAGCTCTCAGCATCTTCAGCCGTGAGATAAGAAGCTGGTCCACATCTGTGCAGGACAGGAAGTTCAGGAAGATGGAGAAGGAGAAGATATCAGCCTGGTTTTAATGTTTCGGGAGCTCTCCTGATCAAGGTCTGACACCAAATCAGCTAGTTTTGTTCTTGAAAGAAAAGACAAGAGGCAAGCAAACTCCTGTCCCTACTTCCCCCAAGTTCCTAAACTGGACTTAAGATTTAACTTCTACCACACCCCAATAGTCTGCTTCCTTCTTTGGAAAAAAGAAAAAAAACCAACCCAAGCAACAAAGCAATCTCCCAGTGGAGCCAAGCAGTCTGTCCCCCCCAGATACTGTGTGACTTGGTCTCTATAAATAGGGATCCCTGGGGAGCACCAGGCAATTTATGACTGGGGGCAAAGCACATATATGGGGATAATATGCATGTCCCAGGAATTCCTTAGTCAGAAGTCCAACTTTCTGTACTGACCCCAACTCTGACAATGATCCAAAACTGATGCCAAGTTTCCATAGAGGTAAGCAAACAAGCATCTGAGGAATGGTGCAGAGTGCATGCAAAAGACTGGCTAGAGCACAGCTTTCTCCATCCTAGTGCCTTCCAGATGTGCTAGCTAGATCAAACGTTCTGTCTGGGACTGTGGGATTTAGGGGGTCCCAAGGAGGGGGAAAGGGAACCAACTGGAAAAACTGGATTTACAATGCCGAATCAAAGATGCAAGTACTTCCTAGCCCCTCTGATCCATCAAATTGATCGGGAGGTTTGGTACCGGATATTTTCAAATGAATTGTCCAATAAGCAGCGAGGGGAACTGCACAGTGAAAGCTGGAGATCAGCTTCAGAAAATTAGGCCCCTTTCTTGGGACACAGCGGTTTTAACACCTGCTCAAAAGTCAGCCCAACCAATCTTGGTTGGTGAACTCTTTACCATTCCAGAGGCAGAGATGGGAAAAGAAGCAAACGGCAAAATGAATGGACTGCATTAACCTTTTCAAACCCACTCATTTCGAAATATCAGAAATACCAAAGACCCTTTGATTGTCTTCTCCAGTTCCGCAGAAAAACAAAGTTGAAATCTTTAGACGGCAAAGCAACAGTCTCACCAAAGCTGGACAGACCAAAGCTGTTCTTTTCCCCCAACAACTGCCTACTGTAAACATTTTACTGTACGATCAAAAACCCACCAAATGGAGAAGTTCCCCAAGGAAGAAGGCTCCCTAGATTTCACTCCCTTGCTTTTCAGGAGCAGCCTATTTCAACAACGTGTCCTGGGCTTGATAATTGTCTCCTAGGAAAGGCAAACGAATGTCGTTGGACGTTGGGAGACTGTGGAGTGACATCAACATCACACAGCTTTGGGGTTAAATTCCAACAGCGGCAGTTACGTTAACAGTTTTTCCGTCGAGACAAAAACACAAGGATAAGAGGGACGACGGGGCCCTTTCTCTCTAAAAGTTCACGGCCGTGGCAGTTCAAGCGAGGCTGCCAGTTCACACCACTTGCAGAGCCGTGGCTTCTCCGTCCAGCTGATATTTGATCTGGTTAAGTTCTTCCAGCTCTTGCTGGTGCCGATCAGTTTTGTGCCCCACCAAGGAGCGGTAGAAATGCAAAGCAAAGATGATGAACACGATGCCGACGGGCACCATAATCACCGTGGAGGCCATGGCAGCGTTCCAGCCGGAGCTGTCTGAAGAGGCCGTGGCGTTCCCGTCCTGCAGCTGCTCTGGAGCGCAGCACTTCCTGCTCGTCCCCATGTTGCCGACAGGCATAAACTTGACCCAGCAGATCAACACCACTTCGGTAAGGAAGAGGAAAATCCCCAAAGCCGTGGAGAAGCCCCAGGCCAGCTCAATGTAGTGATGCATGCGTTCGTGGGGGGACTCATTGACCGAGTTGAGGTTGTGGATGTTACTGACAGCTTCGATGTTGGGCAAGATGCACGTGCTGACCATCAGAGCGAAGAGATGGACGGCCACCAGCACCGTCGTGCAGGCACTGAAGGCCACCAGCAGCTGCCAAGGATAGTCGTAGTCTTCCAGTTGTACCTCCACCATGGCTACCTGGAGAAGGACAGACAGTTGTAACTTAAAGAGAATAATTTTAATTCGGAACGGTTGCTGGAATTGGGTATGTCTAGTTTAATGAAGAGAAGGACGAGGGGGGACATGATAGCAGTGTTCCAATATCTCAGGGGCTGCCCCAAAGAGGAGGGAGTCAAGCTATTCTCCAAAGCGCCTGAAGGCAGGACAAGAAGCAACGGATGGAAACTAATCAAGGAGAGAAGCAACCTAGAACTAAGGAGAAACTTCCTGACAGTTAGAACAATTAACCAGTGGAACAACCTGCCTCCAGAAGCGTGAATGCTCCAACACTGGAAGTTTTTAAGAAGAGACTGGACAGCCATTTGTCTGAAATGGTGTAGGGTTTCCTGCCTGAGCAGGGGGTTGGACTCGATGACCTCCAAGGTCCCTTCCAACTTTATTATTATTATTAACTGGTGGAGGCCATTCAGTGAACTTCCCGGCTCAGTGCAAATGGGAGCACAGCTTTTAATTTTTTTTAAGATAAGAAAGACAACCTTTATTGTCATTTTTTTACTGGCACACATTAAAAATGAAATTCTGTTGCCCGCTCTCAAAAAGTGTACACGTACGTAACACACATATATAAACATGCTATGTACCTATGCATGTATACACCTAAACCCTTACATATAAATACATATACATATTAATCACTGTCCATCTTGAATGCATAGCGGAAAGAGGAAGCTTTAGAGTTCACAAGGTTAATACTATATGGCACAAAACTGTGACTGAATCTGGTTGTTCTGCTTCGGATACCATGGAGCCTCCTCCCAGAAGGTAACCAGGAAAACAGGTTGTGAAGAGGGTGTGTAGTGTTCCAGACAATCCTGCGGACCCTGCTCAAGCAACGTTTATATGCCATGTCCTGGATGGATGGAACTGCCAATAATCTTTTCTGCCATCCTCTCCTTAAATTTGGGGGGGGGGGGACTGTAAAAGTCAACTTGTTCTTAAAAGGTTCCTCTCTAGTTTTGCTAATCTTAGTTCAACAGAGCAAAATGTGGTTAACGGCAAAAAGAGACCTTTTTACTTTTACTGGAAAGTAATCCGATAAGGTTGCACCCCATCACCAATTCTTCCTTCCACTGTGCCTCCAGATTTTTTTTCCTTACCCAAACCACTTTTGAGCTAATTTGAGGTAGTAGTGAAGGCAGCGTTTTTCAATTTGGCAACTTTAAGATGTGTGGACTTCAACTTCCCAGAATTCCTCAGGCAGCCCTATTGGCTGGGGAACTCTGGGAGTTGAGGTCCACAGGTCTTAAAGATGACCAGTTGAGAAATACTGGGTTAAGGCATCAGGCTAGAATCCGAGAGAGCAGGAATTCTAGTCCTGCCACGGGCATGAAGCCAGCGGGATGGCCTGGGGCCAGCCACTCTGTCTCAACCCAAGGAAGAAGGCAAGGGTAAACCCACTTCTGAAAATCTTGTCAAGAAAACTGCAGGGACTAGTTCAGGAAGTTGCCAGAAGTTCAGGAAGTTGCCATCGATCTGAAGACATCATAAAAACCAAACAAGCAGAACAAGCTACCTACTTTTGGCTTGGGGCAATGAGGCTGGATGGCTGGTTTTGCAAAAAGCACCAGCTCTACCCGCCCACCATTTTTAGTTCCATGAATGCAGGATGACCACTGTCGTGCTTGGAGACCTTGAATCAAGCAAATAACCAAAATTGGTGCTTTGCTTTGTGGCATGCTACTTCCCTTTCTTTATGCATCTGTTTATTTATTTTTTTAAAAAAAGCAAACCTCATAATAATAATACCAGATGGCTCAGGAACCTTTGTTGTAAACACAGCACAGTTTGCCTATCTTTTATTTATTTTTTTTTTTAAACCCACCCTGCTTTGAACCACAGGAGCAAAGTTATTCTAACCTTGTTTGCTCAGAAATAATCGCCTGGGAGATCAAGGAGTCCCTCTCCCCAGTAGGTCTGTTTGGAATGGTAGCTTCCAGTTCCTTTCAGAGAGATATATGGGCTTTGTAAGGTTTTCTTTTTAAACTATTAAAAGAAAAATGAAAAACACAGCAAGAGTTGTGGGGAAACGGGTTTCAAACCAGCACGGCCAGCTACACTCACGTTGGTTTTCAAAGAAGCAATTTACGCTCCCATGTCCAGTTAACATCTAAATCAGCCTTAACAACTTTTAACCTTAACAATTTTATGTTGGGTGGACATCAGCTGCCAGAAGTCCCCAGCCAGCAGGATTGATTGCAGAATTTTGGGAGCTGAAGTCCACACAACTTAAAAGTTGCCAAGTTTGAGGAACACTGATCTAATGGTTTCTTGGACATCTATCTATCTATCTATCTATCTATCTATCTATCTATCTATCTATCTATCTATCTATCTATCTATCTATCTATCATCTATCTATCTACTATCTATCTATCTACTATCTATCATCTATCTATCTATCATCTATCTATCATCTATCTATCTATCTATCATCTATCTATCTATCATCTATCTATCTATCTATCATCTATCATCTATCTATCTATCATCTATCTATCATCTGTCTATCTATCTATCATCTATCTATCATCTATCTATCTATCTATCATCTATCTATCTATCATCTATCTATCATCTGTCTATCTATCTATCTATCTATCATCTATCTATCATCTATCTATCATCTATCTATCTATCTATCATCTATCTATCTATCTACTATCTATCTATCTATCTATCTATCATCTATCTATCTATCTATCATCTATCTATCTATCTATCTATCTATCTATCTATCATCTGTCTATCTATCTATCTATCTATCATCTATCTATCTATCATCTATCTATCTATCTATCTATCATCTATCTATCTATCATCTATCTATCTATCTATCTATCTATCTATCTATCATCTATCTATCTATCTATCATCTATCTATCTATCTATCTATCTATCATCTATCTATCTATCTATCTATCTATCTATCTATCTATCTATCTCTATCAATCAATCTCTATTGATCAATCTCTCAATCTCTCTATCTACCCAGGGCTTTTTTTGTCATAGAACGCCCAGAACAGAGTTCTGGTACCTTTTTGGGATGGAACCTTGTAAGGTAGGCAAGGCGTGTATGACGTGTGTGAGTTCCGGCACCTTTTTTTTTTTTTTTTTTACAAAAAAAGCTCTATCTATCTATCTATCTATCTATCTATCTATCTATCTATCTATCTATCTATCTATCTATCTATGCTGGTCTGATAGCCATCTCAAGCTAGCCTGGGGCAATAGGAGCTTAAGTTCAACCCATCTGAACAGTCCATTTATTTAGGTGAGCACATAAATCTCTCTTTCTGCTTCTCTCTTTCTCCTTCTCTCTTTCATGCTATCTCTCTCTCTCTCTCTCTCTCTAAACCACATCTATACATGAAGTCCTCAATGGGGGCAGTTACCATTTGTTTAGTGACGTTTCAAAGTTGCAACGGCACTGAAAAAAGTAACTTGCGACCATTTTTCACACTTATGACCATTGCAGCATCCCCATGATCACGTGATCAAAATTCAGACGCCTAACAACTGACTCATATTTATGACAGTTGCAGTATCCCCGGGTCATGCGATCATCTTTTGTGACCTTCTCATAAGCAAAGTCAATGGGGAAGTCAGATTCACTTAACAATTGAATTTCTAACTTAACAGATGCAGTGATTCACTTAACAACTCTGACAAGAAAAGTCGTAACATGGGGCAAAACTCACTTAAACGTCTCACTGAACTACAGAAATTTTGGGCTCAACTCTGGTCATAAGTTGAGGACTACCTGTATTAGCCCGGCACTTGGCTATCGGCCCTCAGTTGTGCCCCTTGCTGCAGGTGGAATGACTGAGGCACAGTCAGGTTTGATCAAAACCTGCCGTTTTTAAGCTTCCTGGGGCTGCTTAGAGCAGGGCTTTTCAACCAGTGGTACAGGTACCACCTGTGGTACATTGGCACCTGGCAGGTGGTACGCGACCATCCTAGAAAAGTGGTAGCGGGGGAGGGGAATGAGCTGAACCGGTGGCAGCACCGCACAAGCCTGAGCGAGAGATGGCTGGAGCTGCAGGGCTGTCAGGGCTCAGCGGAAGCGCCAGGATCAGCGCCAGGCTCCAGCTGGAGCTCGGCACTGATCCTAGTGCTTCTGCTGAGCCCAGAAGAAGCGCCGATCTGCTGGAATGTTGCAGCATCTCCAGGCTCTTGTGATTTACATTCAGATGCTTGGCAACTGATTCATATTTATGACAGTCACAGTGTCTCTGGGTCATGTGAAGTGACCAAAACCTGCTGCAACCACCCAGCAGACAGGGAGAATAAAAACCAAACCCCCCCACCCCCGCTGCCAATCCTCAACAGAAATGCTCACAACAATGAAAACCTCGGAAAGGAGGAAGAGCACCGCTGGGCGGGCAGGTGTCTTGCTCAGCTGTGGCTTGGGGGGCACTTTTCTCAATACCATTGTAACTTTGAACAGTCCAAACTGTTGTAAGTCGAGGACTACCTTTACTTTCTCAATTTTTTCCTTTTTTTTTTTTTTTGGTCATCAAGTGTTTGACACCTTGCTAGGCGACTGGTGGTACTTGGATGTTGCCATATCCTAAAAGTGGTACAGTTGGTGAAAAGGTTGAAAAGCCCTGGCTTAGAGGATGATTGCAATCCTCTATGAGTTGATCACAGCCTGGGACATCATGCAGAACAAATGTAAATAAATCTCCTCGGTTATGTTGCAGTTCTACCAGCCCTGCAGGATCTTCTTGCAGACGGAGGAAACCGTGTGCAATTTGTCGTGGGGGCCGGCCTCTACAGCCAAGTATGAGCCGCAGTGCCTCTTAAAGCTATTAATCCCCAACTTGGCACTTGAATGTGTTGCTTGAAGAAAAGAGAGGGGGGGAGGGCAGCGTCCCATATTCTGCTCTGACTAGCTAGAGCTCCAGCTTTGGCTTAAGTTCCAGTTCCTTCCCCAGATAATTTGGGGAGGGGGAGAG